TTTTGCATATTCTTGTACACTTTTTGTATGACATTTTTATTAAAAAATTCTTCATAATTACCAAAACGTCACCGCGTTTTTTACTTAAATTTTGATCTCTTCCATCCATTTTTTCATATCAATGGCCAAAATTAGTTCTTGCTTTTCACCTAGGAAACACTTGTTATTTGATCCATACTCTCTCTCTCTCTCTCTCTCTCTCTATATATATATATATATATATATATATATACTCATGCAACGGTTTAGCTTAGTTGTACACCATGTCTACTCTTTGCATAGGTTTAAATGATTGTTCCTAATTTGTGGCCTACTAAGTTCTTTGTTCTTAAGAATAGCCCCGAAATCCCTGAATGCATTAAGTCTTTGTTAGGATGTTCCAAACTCTCAAGAAAGGGACTATTTATTCTTCACCATTTACCATCACCTTCACAAGTCCTTTTGATCGGTAGCTAGTTTATTAGTGTAGGTTGTCACGACTTTGAGGATGCTGTGAATAATTTTGTCAAGTATTTTAGCTAGAGTACAAAGATGTAGTTTAGGGAGAAATTTTCTTGGTTTAGACTGTCTGTTCTGTGAGTATCCCTTTAACTACATGTGCATACTAATTGTTTTAATTCCTGTGGTGATTATCGTAAGTCACGTTGTTCGGTTTGCTTGAGGACAAGCAAAGGTTTAAGTGTGAGGGAATCTGATAAGTCCGTATTTAGACATGCATTTGATGTGTGTTGGGATCGGCTTTTGATGGTTTTCCTAGCTTTAAGGTGTTACAAGTCTCAATTTTAGATCAAGTTATGTTTACCAGGCGTTGGTTAGAGTTTTGTGTTGTTTGGAGTCAAATTCAGGAATTTAGAGTCTGACACCAGCGCTTGAGAAGAAATCGGGAAGAGTTGGAGAGCGTTCAAGAAAGATTTGAGAGTTTTGGAGGCCACCGGGATATTCATGACGAAGATTTGATGAAGAAACGGCCTTCGGATCGATCAAAGAAGCATCCGAGAGCGAACGGGGGAGAAAATAGCAAGAAAACGATTCTAGAGCATTCCGCGCACCCCGCGGGTCGGTCCGCACGCCCCGCGGGTGATTCTGAGAGCAAGAATTCAAGAAGTCTGAACTGCACTATGTGCGGCTGAAACCGCACACTGCGCGGTCCAGAAATAGCCCCCAGAAGTACCCGCACCATTGTATAGTGCGGGATCCGCACGCAGTGCGGACCGAGCGAAACACGGAACACGTTAATTTTCTTACGCGGCCGCACGGTGCCCCGCGCAGCGTGCGGTCGACAGTGCGGTCGTGCGATTCAGCTTATTTTCGCGATTTTTCTATAAATATGTCCCCAATTTGTCTAATGGGGGGGGGGGGGGGGGATGAACCCTAGGACGAATTTGGAGAGCTTTTCAAGCCTTGGATTGTTAAGATTTGGAGATTCTTTGTAAGTTCAATCTTTTTAATTAATGACAATTAGTTCTATTCATCCCAATTCCGTTGATTCTTCAATTATGAATTGTGAGTAGTTTTAATTAGGGATTTGAGATTGATGAAGGGGTTAATCAGGATGTATGACTAGATTCTTGATAGATTAATTGCATGAATGCCGTTTAATTTGTGTTTGAATAATTTAACTGACATCTTTTGTAACCTAGAGCGACCGCTAGAATTACAATTGCTTGTAGAATAAATTAAGAGAGATCTAGTTTATTCTAGGACACATTCACACACACTTAATCGTTCGCTAAGAGATTAGTAACGATTAAGGGGCCATAAGCTCGCCCGTCTTGGCAATAATTTAGGATCCTGTCGCATGATAGATCAACCTGGTCCCCTAAATTATTGTATTCTACGCCGCGTGAGCGGTAAGAACTTAGTAATGATTAGTCTGGCTCAATTAAATTAATTTCATGTAATTAAGTCTGATCTGCCAGAAATCTGGTTACCCCGGAATCAAACCATGTTCCCTTCATCATTAATTAGAAAGAACCCCCTAGTTTAATCGTTTCATTCGCATTAGTTTAATTTTCCAACCAATCAATCTCGCACGACGCTTTTATTTTATTTTCTTTTTAATCGCTGAATTTAATTAATTCTTGATTCCCTTTTGTCCGTTCCTGTGGAGACGATATTCGTACTTACACAGTTACACCACTATATTACGATCTATTTTAAGTGCGAGAAAACTCACGATCATACTTTCATAGTTTTTTTTATCTCTTAGAAGAATTTAGATTTTCACATACTTTATATCAAAGTTAAGTCAAATATTACATTTTACATTTAGTAAATATGGTGTTTAAGGTGATGTCTTGACCGAAACATTTGAAGGAACAACTGATGTTATCAGTTTATCACTCGAATACAAAGTGTTATTATATTTTCTAATCTTTATTAAAATTTTATTTAAATTTAAATGTGACACATGTAACATGAAAGTAGTTAATGAACGATAGAATCCATAATATTTTATTTAGTTTAAAAAGTGACACGTAAAATTATAGTCAAATTAAATGAACGATAAAAGTCATAATTAAAGTAGATATTACACGAAGGTAGCTAATGAACAATAGAATCCATACTAAAATGAGCAATATAAAATATAAAAACACTACATAAAAAGCCAGGGCCGGCTCAATAGATTAGGAGACCCGGTGCAAATAACGTAAAATAAGCCTTATATTAAATAAATATAATATAAAAACAGCCTTTAAAAATAACCCAAAAAGACTACAATCAAGTGTGACATTGAGATATAATCATATTTCGAACCTGAACAACCAAAATCGGTAAAAAAACTAAAAGCGAAAAGAAGTGAATTAAAATCATGAACTAAAAAATATAGAGTAGGATATTACTGAAAAAACTACTCCCTCCGTCCCTTAAAACCAAGCTCGTACAAACTGTACGAGGAATTTGTGCTAATTATTATAACTAGGTCTTATCCAGGCCTCATGTAATAAAGAAGTTGCACATTTATAATTAACAATTGCATTTTAATTACATATTAACATTAGTATTTAATGTTTGTGTTTAAAAACAAAATACTAAAATATGAATCTTTAATCAAATAAAAAAAGATTTTGTATATTATATAGACTATATTTAAAATTTTGGGCCTTCTGAATCGAGAGGTCTTGTGCGGTAGCACTTCTTGCACGCCCTCATCTACGGCCCTGTAAAAAGCATGACAATATTATAATAATATAACACATCATTTTATTTGTGATTAGCTGGATCGGTAAAATAATATGACTTGATATTAGCAAAAAACATTATCATACCCCATTGGTCCCGTGGAAGTGACTTCTTCCCCTTCCCCTAACTCTGCATATCCTGATTCTGTATGAGTAACAACAAACCATATTTTCCCGTATAGCTCAGTTCAGGTCCGTTTCAGTAGAACTCCCATCATCATATGGGTTGTATGACTCCGAATGAGTTTCCGAGTCAACCTATATAGGAGGGGAAAAATTATCGGTGATTTACAACCTCTTTAGCCAGAGAGGGAACTTTAGGAATTTTCTGCCAAAGCGCTGCATCCCTGGTCCCGAGCCTGCTTACACTATCGAAATCGACCGACGACCGCTCTTCGTTGATGACAAAAGTGGAAGAAACGAAACCCTAACTCGTAGGGAGATGACCGATAGAGAGAAGACTCTTCAATTCCAACAATTGGCCGGAAAAACCCAGCCCCGCTCCTCGGCAATGGCTGATAGCGGACGAATCCAAGGTAGCGATTACCTTGCGGCAACCCTAGAGAGAGAGAGGACGAAGACCTCTTGTAGCCGCTGCTGAATTTTGCTCTCCATCAAAATTGTGTGATTTGGAAATTGGAAACTAATACAGATATAATTAGATATTCCAATTAAGAAAATCTATTATAATGTGATTGCATTTTTAATATTGTTGAATCAATTTAACCAATCATATTTCTTAAAGTTCCATATGAATGAAAAGTCATAAATATATTTTTAAATTATTAAATATAAGAAGTTATTAATTAAAATCAAATTATATATTCTTAAATTTCAAATTAAATATTTCAAAATTATACATGTAATTAAATTAGTTTATTTTCACAAAAAGGAAAGGAAATATAAGACTAATATTTTTTATTAAAGGAAGAAGAGAATCATAAGTGAATGTCCAAAAACTATGACCTATGACACTTCAGTGTCCAATATGAGATACATATGTAACCATAATGTCTAATTTGATATATTTGAAACCTTAGTGTCCAATATCAGATTTTCAAGAAAACATAATGTCCAATTTGAGCCTTATCCCATTTATAAAATATTGAACAACATCTACCAAACCAAAACCAAATCAGTTTAAACGAGATTTAAAAAGAGTAGACCCAAAATTTTAAGGGAAAAATAATTAAAATACCCAAACTTTAAAGGGATATGAGATGAATACTCCAAACTTGCATATATATTGTAAATAATCCAAACTTTATATAAAAAAGTTATTTTGACATCATAGTCACATATTATTTTTTCAAAAATGTAAAGTTATGGGGTTAATTGCATAATTTAAAAAAGTTTAGGACTCATAAAGACACAATTAACATATAAACTTGCATTGCAAAATAAACAATGTTATCCCCAATCTTAATAATTGCAACACTTATAATTTGGTATTTTAAATTATGCAATTGCCCCCCATAAATTTACATTTTTGAAACAAATAATAAATGACGGTGCGAAAATAACTTTTTTTATATAAAGTTTGAGATATTTTTATCATTTTTCCATATTTTTAACCCAATTAAAAAAGGTTCTGAATTCTAGCCTTAGCCAAATGCTCATCAGCCTGCTTTCAGCTAGCCAAACATACCTGTAAGGATGTTTTTACTTGGACGGTAATTTGCTGGTCTGGTCTGGTCTGAACTGGTCTGGTCTCGTCTGGTAAGGTCTGGTTTCTTTGTATTTTTATAACTATCCAAGTCTGGTCTGGTCTGGTCTGAACTGGTCTGGTCTGGTCTGGTCTGTGCAAATTACAGTCAAGTAAAAACATCAGAAGTCTGTAACCGCCCAGTAGATCGTCCAGTACGGCAGTACCCGTAAGCTGCAGGCGAGCCGCACACAGTATTGCAGTAATTTGGGAAGGTAAAGAATGAAGCGGAAGGTAGACGATATGGAGATGATAGTGTGGCAAACTCCCGCGAACCCACCAGAGAGACATGACTACATTTACCGCAACGGTACCTTCTTTCTTCATATTCTCTTTTCTTTCACGAAGTTTCATTTTCTATGCATTTGTGCAGGCATACGCTATGTCAAACCATACTACTTCGAGTTCATCTCTCATGTAAGCGCTCCCGCCTTTGACAAGCTAGTTAAGGACCACTTCTCTTTTAAATCCATTGTATGCTCAAATTATTGTACGCAGGTGAAGAATCGGTGGGCAGGGAAGACAATTGTTGACCTTTTCTCTGAAGAGTTTAAAGGCCGGTCTAGCGATTACTATGTATGCTATTATCATGCGCTATCTACCATTAGCTACTGTATCCATTTCTGGATTGAAAAATGGATTCATATGCTTGTGCGTTATTTCAAAGAAAGTCATTTGACATTAATATATTGAGTTCATTGTACAGAAGAAAGTATGGCGCTGAAGTTAATAGAGTTTGTAGGTTGCTGCTGTTAAATCTGGACGAATACAAGTCAATGGGAAAAGAGTTCCTGTTTCATATGTAGTCCAATCATCACAGAAAATAAGCCATTTTGTACACAGGTTGTCCAGCTCGAGCTTCACCCCCCAACAAATTTGTTCAGCTTCTATTATCATGTCACCCAATCAATCAAGTTATATTTTTGTTTCACACTGTGGAGTTTATATGAAGAGTCCAACACAAAGTTATAACATGCCACCTCAAGTATGTGTTGCTACTTGCTAAGTAACTGAAGCATGTAGGCATGAACCTCCAGTCATGGCATGGGATGTGGAGGTACTATGTGAGGAACCAGAGGTGCTGACCGTTTGTAAACCTGCATCAGTCCCTGTAAGTTCACAGCTGTTAACCTTTACTAAAGTTTTGAACAGTTATATAGTTCTACTACAACAATTCTATGATTTCTCTTCGTCTATAAGACAACATTTGACTTGACACCCAAATCAATTTCCATTCTTTTTTCAATCTTTTATAGTGTGGATTCCTTTTGCAGCTCAATGTCTATATTACCCACCTTTAAGTTATATTTTTTCCATGGTGTGATATACCATTTCTTTACGTTTCAATGTTCATAGGTGCACCCGTGTGGGCAGTATCGTAAGAACACAATCCTTGGCATCCTTGAGGCAGAACATAGTTTGACACCACTATTTCGTATCCATTATAGCTTAGTATCTTGCTCAAACTTTAAAAAAAAACCGTTTAATTTCCTTTACGCTGCTCCGTATTTCATGTTAGTGAGAGGAGGTACTTGAGTACTTCATATGATACTTTATACTCCATGTTGCATTTATTACAAATTCATGCTTTTTAACATGAAGGTCTATCAATTTTTGCACCGATGTTATGGGAGACATGCATGTAAAAATGTGCTCCAATAATTCGTTTGAAGGCACATTTACCCATGCTAAAATTGAAAAAAGGTTATGAAATTTACTATAGGTATATATTCTTTAGAGAATTTTGTAATTAGGAGTAAAATATATCAGATTTTCTCACACAGGAGTACCATTGTTTTCTTCCCAACCTAGGACTCATGGGATCCTATTTAGGGAAGTTTTTATTCATTTATTTTTTATAGGACTAAATAAGTCTTTTTTTGGAAGAAAGCATTCTCAGTCCTATTTTAGACCATTGCCTTTGTTTTTCTCCTATTTGAGCAATTTCTTAATATTCTTTTGACTATGATTTTGGATGGTGTAGTAGTTTGATATTTTATACTCCCTGTTGCATTTATTACAAATTCATGGTTTTTAACCTAATGGTATATCAATTCTTGCACCACTATTGTTGTTGTGGAAGAGATGCATGTAAAAGTGTGTTCCAATAATTTGCATGAAGGCATATTTACTACATGTAAATATTCTTTCATTACAATGATTTTATGTAATTTGCATTCAATCTAGTGCTCTTTCATTACAATGATTTTATATGATTTGCATACAATCTAGTGCTATTTCATTACAACGATTTTATATAATTTGCATACAATCCAGTGCTTCTATTTTAGGCTTTTGCAGCATGTCAAATTTGTCAAAATGTCTAGTTACTTGATATAATTTTTTTTGGGTTATGTTTCCTTAACTTGAGCTTCAAGCTATTCATCGTCTTGATCGCTTGGTCTCAGGGCTCCTTATCTTAGCCCGGAGTTCCTCTAAAGCTGACACTTTTAGGCAGCAGGTATTTTCTTGTAGTTATTTTGTAGCAGTCTTTGTGAATATAAGTTTTAGTAAACCACTTGGTGAATGCAATACAGTAATACGCACAAGTACATATATATGTGTATTTGCATTCACGTATAATGAGAGAGCGTGGTTGGTGACATTGGCTTGCTTCATTGTCATCTTCCGCAAGTTCAACAAAAAAGTGTTTTTTTACAGTCTTTTTCCTCAGGCCATTTTCATAACAATATAGGCTTATAGCATAGCCCCTTGGTTAGGATGTTTCTTTTCTAAAGCCTTTGTCATGAGGCCATTTTCATCACAATATAGGCTTATATCATAGGCCCTTGGTTTGGCAAGCCGTGGCTTCTGCTCAACCCAGTCATCTCCTGATCTCCCCTCTTGAGGAGGCTGGTAGCAGTGTAAGTATTCAGTGGTTGTTGGCCCCGCAAGCGGTAGTGTAGACGTGTAGTTTTGGGCAGCGTGGACAACCGAACAGGCTGTTATTTTAGCCGTTTTTCTGGCCAAGCCTCATAGGCCATAGCAATATTCATGTTTCCAGGAATCTAGAAAGCTCCAAACGTTTCTCCTCCCAATGACCAGACATAGATGCATTAACATGAAACCAACAGAGCAGACTTTAGGTGCATGCCAAGACATGTTGGGAAAAAGCAGTTACACTCCTTAACCATGCCGGATAGTTTTATTTGAAAAAGATTACCTTCCTAATCGGTGCTCAAGGGGAGTTCAAAGCGGAGAAGAAACATGGAAACACAACAGAGCTCACATTTTGCTGTTTCAGAAACTCAGAAATGTATCTGAGATTTGAAAGCTATAAAAAATTGGGAAACCCATTTCCTAGTACTCTAGTAGTGCTTTAGAAATGTTGGATCTTTGCTTTTGTTGTTTATATGATGTTTTGATGGATTGTTTTTAGGTTTTTCATGCACAACACTGTATTTGTGACATTTCATGGTGCTAATTAATCTTCAGTCATATGGCAAAGTAAATATGAAAAAGATATGGATAGATACTGTAACACCCCGGCCCCGTGGGACCCGAGGTAGTTACTTCAGACCTCTAGACCACTAGTACTGTCCTCACAAACCGCCACTAGCCTTTTCCGCGCACTTTGTCCTCACTCGTGCGCGCCCTGAGAAACTTCCCAGGGGGTCACCCATCCCAAGACTACTCCCGTGCAAGCACGCTTAACTTTGGAGTTCTTGGCTAATGAGCTCCCTTAAAAGGAGATGCATCTTGTTAGTATGAGTAGTACTATTAATCCGTTTATATTAAATCTCAAGTGTTACAGATACTCACTCACACACACACATATATGGAAAAATATTTGCAATTATATCCCAATAATTTTTCTATTTAGTAGTTTTCCCCACGTTTTGTATCCATATAAAAAATACCGTTTCACATTACCTGTTTTGCGTTACTGTGCCATTCAAGAAGACAACATTCCCAAAATGTGGTATGACTTTCACAGCTTGTCAGCTCAATGATATGTGTCGCCTAACATATAGAATGACGTCAAGCCCACACGTGCCATTTCTGCGGTTCAATGATGACTGAAGAAGTCTAAATCCTCTCACAAGGTTACAACCAGGTTAATGGATTGCTGTACCATCAAATAAAGGAAATCCCAACATCGAATATCATTGGAGGTTCATCCTCATAGGTTTGCTGGTTCTATGGCGTGCCTAAACTCTGGCCAGAACTTTGCTTTTCGCCTGCTGCCTGTAAGCGACGACAATCAAAATTGGTGAACACCGATAATTTGGTGGTCTAGGCCAGTGGCAGTTGGGGTTGTGATTATTTTTACTCCCTCTGTCCCACAAAACTTGGCCAGATTTGACTTGCACGTAGAATAATAAAGTAAAAACTGTGTAGTTGAGAAATGTGTAGAGGAGAGAGAAAGAATTTTAACCACATAATTATTACTACCTCCGTCCCATTTTATGTGTCTCCTTTGGTTTTGGCACAATTTGTCAATTTTTAATAAAGTGGTTTGAAAAGGTAAAAGTTGTGCTTGAGATGTGAGTACAATAAAGTGAAATGTTGTCAACTGCATATTTCTTTCCAAAAAGGGAAAAGTGACACTTATTTTGGGACAACCCAAAAAGGAAAGTAAGACAGGTAAAATGGGACGGAGGGAGTACTTTAAATGATAATGGCAAAGTTTTTTGGGATGGCTGAATCAAGAATTTTGTCAAAGTTTTGTGATACGGAAGGAGAACAATTTTGTTATTGCTACATGCTCAAACCCCGGTCAAATTAGTTGTCTTCTAGCCATTTTATCTAATACTCCCCCGCCCCCTTATATTGTCCCGCTTTACCTTTTCAGGAAATCCCACTAAAATTGTCCCATACCACATTTGGTAAAGTTTGTGTGGCTCTAAATCATTCTTACTTTATCAATTAATATCAACCACACAAATAAAATTTTCTTAATAATTGTCAACTTTTCTTAATAATCGTGCCACTCTTTTCCGTTCCAATATAAGAGGGACGGAGGTAGTAATTATTGTTGTAGGAATTCAATGCATGTTCTTACCAATCTTCCAAATTTGCTATATCAACCCTTGTCACACTAGAAGATGCATTTAACGTTAACCTTTTAAAGATGCATCAATATCATACGTTTAGAATTGGACACCGATTGGCAACAAGTAAAAGAGGCTCAATTACACCATTTTTTTCTAGTTAGTGTATTTCAATTGAGTTCGTCTATGTTGGGGGCCCAATTTGTTTCAGATTGAATCAGGAAGGGTGCAGAAGCAGTATATTGCTAGGGTAATTGGCGTTTTCCCTGAAGATGAGGTACTTTTTATTGCTATGTGCTCAATTATTTTGCTTTAGTCCATCTTTGTGATCTTAATAGAGAAGCTGTTCATATTTGCTCGCTTGATTTGATGAATTGATGGATATAATTTATGATTTTCCTTTACCAGCAAGTTGTAAATGCAAATGTCAATTACAATGCTCGAGAAGGAAGGAGTACTACGGAGGTAAAGTTCTTGCATCAGTTATATTAGCTCATATATCTCCTTGCTCCATCAATATATGGTGGTGGTGGTTGTTTTTCTTAGATTGTGTGATATGCATATTTTAAATCTGATGTGTAGTTCAAACCTAATGGTTATTAATAATATGGGCTCACTAACACGATATACTCTCGACAGTGAGAGATTCTCAATTTCACTAGTTAGATGCTAAGTAAAAGGTCTATGAAGATAAGATTCATAAGATTAATTACAATTTGGATGTCAGTCTTCGTTGTAAGACATATGAGGTGGGTAGTTGATGAGGACGAGAGACCTTATGAAAATATTTAATTTCTGTTTCTTTTTCTAAGCAATGTTTTCTGAAATGTCATATGTGGAAGTCCTTCATCATTGATGAGGATCAAACTTGACAAAGCATATTGAATTTGTATTTGGGAGGTATAGTGGTGCTTTTCATTTGGATACTAATTTGCAATCATTTATCTGGAAGCTACGAAGTAACAAATTGGCAATAATTTATTTTACCTCGATGTATAAGGATGTTTTCTTTTGGACTGAAATTTGCTGGTCTGATCTGGTCTGGTCTGGTAAACGTCTGATCTCTGCGTATTTTATAACTACGGAAGTCAAGTCTGGTCTGGTCTGGTCTGGTCTGGGACTGAAAACAGTCCAAAAGAAAACATCCTTAATCATTAAGAGGTATTAGCCTTTGTTCTTCTTATTAAAGTAATGAAGTGGGAGTGCCTAAGGTTTGATAGAGACTTAACAAACACAGTAAAAATTTAGGATTATATTGAATATGGAGTCTGATGAATTACAACTGAATTGACAGAAAACAGAAAGAAAGTGAAGAACAGAGGTTGAGACATTTCGAGCAGTTTCCCTCTTCCAAGCCCAAGCCTAACTGAATTCCAGCCTAACCTCCTCTTCCCACTTTCAGCTACTATTAATTAATAGTTTATACTACGTATTTTAGCATGGGGTTGCCACCTCAGCTATTTATTTACATATCTTACTCCTACTAAACCTTTATACTATTCTTTATTTAGTACTATTATTATTATTCTGCCCGGGTTCCTATCATCACTCATCTTTGATAACCACCTTGTCCTCAAGGTGGGAGGTAGGAAACAACCCTGACCAACAGCTTCATCCTTGCGCCTCTCTCTTCCCAGTACCTTATTTCTGGACCATGAGCTTCATTACTTGAACCTTCATCATCACTTCCTTCATAGCATGAAAGATCAGAAGCAAGGACTTTATTGCATATTGCTCCACAATGTTGCAAAGGTTAGAATCTCCCAGCAACTGTGTCTCTGGCCCATCTTCTAAGATGTTCCTTCTGAAGTATGAGCAGTAGCAGACATATGAGAAGGCTACCATGGTTCCACACACTATTCGAAGTTGGAATTTACTTTCTTTGATGGTACGTCGATCCATTAAGCTGGCTGAAGCATTGTGTGCGGTACTGCGGTTTTTCTCATAAAAAAATTGCGGAAATGACACTCATGGGATTGACCACATTCCATATGATGGGTGAGGCACAAGCCGCACAACTCTTGACCAACAAGCTGGAAGTTAGTATCTTGTGGACCACTTTTTCGCAGTGCTGCCTTCTCTGTTTCGGACTGCCCTTCATTACAGTTTCCAATCCAAATGATCTGCTCTATAGTGTTTGCTGTAACATTTGGTGCTAAATGTAGGATAACAGTTGAAATATTGTAGAGATGAAGATCGATGTAATAAACTGAAGTGGAAGGACTTAGAGGAATTTAGTGATCAATGAATTTCTATAGTAGGTCTTTATGTGTAAAAGTCAATTTAGATATTGTAGATACAAATAAACTAGTCTGTGCTGTCATTCTGTCAACATTTCTGATTTCACAAATGAGCATAAAATGTTGTCTAGATGGAAAAATCATTCTATCACGTTATTATTAACTTAAAGTCTCAAAAATGGAAAAATATTATTTAATATATTAATGAGTAAAAATGTGAAACATATCTGAGCATTATACTACTAATGTTACAATTCTGTTAGTCTTTGATCTCTTTTTCCTCTCTTTGTAGCTAATTTCACTACTTTCTCTGGACCTATTAAGCAATTATCAAACTGTAATTTTTTAATCCAGGGGTAGTTATGGAAATAGCCAAATTTGTGATATAAAAGAAAAACTTGGGGTATTCCCCTGTCATTTGACCTTCTTTTTAGAAGTAACAGACAGTTTCCTTTTGGATGTAACCATGTTATACCTTGAGTTTCGTGATTTGAACTTGCAGGCGGGAGGAAATAGTGTTAGTGGCAATGATCTTGTAAACGGAAAGTCTGCTTCTACCAAATTTATGCGAATTTGTACGGACGGGAAGCATAGTATTGTACTGTGCCAACCGATCACCGGAAGGACACATCAGGTATGCTACATTGCTACTCAGCGTTACCCTACTACCCTGTTATGTTCTCCATGATGGTACACTAATCCAGTGAATTTATAGTGCCCTTTACGCTGTGAGGTTTTAACTTTTAATGTATGATATGAATATAATTAGAAAGCTTATTGATAGACACAATGAGCCTAAACCCAATATGACAAAGAAATGTAAAGCAAACACCAAAGGGAAATCACGATGTTCCTAGAACTAAAATTACTACATTTCTATACTTTGTCACCCCCTTCAGCTGGACCATATGAATATATGCTCCGGACTTGAAACTAAAAAGAAAATCAAACTTAACCATGGACACTGAAGAAACTTGAACTCTTGAATATTCTTGTACTGATATTTTCTTAAAAAATTAAACAACTTGAGAACTGAACTTTAACTTGACTCTTTCAATTTATTTTTCCTTTACTGAATTCTACCGAGTTCTATTTTACAGAGCTCTACTAAGCTCTGCTTCTGTGAGTTTTATTGAATTCTATTTTACCACTGAACTTTAGTGAGTTATTGAAGTTGAACAACTTGAGAGTGGGATGTCAACCGGAACTCCTTGAAATTTGACCTCTTTACTAAATTACATCGAGTTTTACTGAGTTTTATTTGACCTCACTTTGCTTCACTGAACTCTACTGAATATATTAATAATTAATATATGCTCCAAACATAAACTAAATAGAAAATCAAACTTAACCATGACCACTGGAAAAACTTGAACTCTTGAATATTCTTGTACTGATATTTTCTTAAAAAATTAAACAACTTGAGAACTGAACTTTAACTTGACTCTTTCAATTTATTTTCCCTTTACTGAATTCTACCGAGTTCTATTTTACAGAGCTCTACTAAGCTCTGCTTCAGTGAGTTTTATTGAATTCTATTTTACCACTGAACTTTAGGTGAGCTCTTGAAGTTGAGCAACTTGAGAGCTGGACGTCAACCAGAACTCCTTGAAATTTGACCTCTTTAATGAATTATACCGAGTTTTACTGAGTTGTATGTGACCTCACTTTGCTTCACTGAACTCTACTCAGTTCTTCACAAGTTCTACTTTAGCAAACTATACTGTTCATTTTACGCTAAAAGGTCAAATAGGCCCCTATACCCATCCGGAATGCTCAATTTGCTCCTGAAATAAAAAAAAAGCTCCATTCCACACCCTCAAAATTTAAAATTTCACCCTTTTCAGGTAGCGGTGTGGTCACCGTCACATCACCCATGAAGGTGTCAACGGTGCGTCAGATGTGTCAATTTAAGGGGTCAAATAAGCCCCTGAACCTGATCGAGTTGATCAATTCACTCCCTCAACCTTTGAAAAGTGTCAAAATTGCGAAAAAATAAAAAACACCAATATAAAGTAAAATAGAAGTTGAAAATATAAAATATAGACATCTATAAAATAATATAATAAGGAAATACGGAGTATTTATATATTGGGGTATTTTCAAAATAAAAAACAAAGTATATACTAAAAGAAATTCTTTAACTTTATTTCCATATTTTATATTTATATTTTATATATAAAAGTGTCATATTTATGTATACATAATACATATACACACGTGCGTGCGTGCGCTCCCCCATACACATATATATTAGCTTGCATTATGTAGTATAAAATAAACATAATTAGTACGAAGTATATATAGTTAGTAAAAAATTTATATTATGTATATTCAATAAATAATTTAAAGAATTATATATTATTTTTCTCTTTTACTTTTTATATAGTATTAATTTTTTTCATGGTGTATACAGTTAAAAAAAATAATACGAAGTGTATATATGTGAATCATACATATCAAGGAGCTATTGAGCTCTATTGAAACATCCCTGGAGAGTAGAGATGATGTTGAGTTCTCTCAAACTTTCTTAACTAGTCTATTGCAAAAGATTCTATGTAGTACTTCATTAAATTCTGCGTAATATCCTTAAATTTTAGAAAGTAGATAAAAACCCTTTGCTAACCCTCTGTAAAAAGTAGAAAAGCATCATGCAAACTCTGAAGGCGATTGGAGGCTAATTTTCTCCATTCAACCGACCCAATTACATGCCTAGTGAAAATAGCTACATGAAAAAATAAAACTAGTTTTGTAATTAGTCATTGGATGGTGAAGTTATGTTAGTTCCATTTACTAGTCATATAGGTGTTGAATAATTGACTAATTTTTACAAACATAGTTTTATTAAAATGAATTTTATTCAAAAATGTTTTGGTGAAACTGCCAAACTGGAAGAAATACATCAATAGTTCAATACCATCTGTTCATTTGTCAATGAATTGGTTGCAAAGTATTGAGGTTTATAAAGACAATATCATACATTGAAGGTGAAACTTAAAGTACTATAATAAAATATTTAGCGAAGTTGAAGCTTAGCTTAAACATCAAGATGCCAAAAAATGATATTTGTTCCTTTATGTTATTGGATCAGTTATTAGATGTTAAAAATTGGTTTGTGTTCACACATCATGTTTATAATGGGTGTTTCTTTCATTCAATTTGAGATGCAAGGTTTGCCTGTCTCTACTTTTTCCTATAAGCATAGACTCATAGTAGTTCCATTCTAGATATTTGTATTCCAATTTTTTTTCATGAAATTTATGGCACGACTGTGCAATGAATTATATTAAAACAGTTTTGCAAACACTGCGTTACCCTGATGCTTCTGACTTGTGATAGATACGTGTTCATTTACAATATACTGGGCATCCAATAGCTAATGACAAGCTCTATCTGTTCGAGTGCATTCCTCGTTCAGCAACTGGAATTAGTGCGGACAGAGGTGCTGCTATGTCAGGCCATGTTCTAAAGCCCAGAAATACTGGAAGTGATGCTGTTGAATCTGATAATGGACCCAGTGAAGATTTCAGCTATGACCCAATGTGTACAAATTGCCCAAACCTGGCTCCTAAAGGGTAAGTTTTTTTAATTTGGCGTACTAAGCTTGTAGTACTACGTTCCAATAGCATTAAGTTTTTGAATGTGATTTTTGTCCTAAAACCACCTGTTATACTTAACCTTTTTTCTGCTGTTAAAATCGTTTTATGATTACCTATTATTACCGGCATAGTTATCCCCCAGACTCATCTCTTGTTTGTTCTTTGTAGTTTTTTGTAAGGTTATGCTTGTATTATTTTAAGTTTGAACTTTATATGTTAGGTGAAGTGTTGAAAAGTAGGAAACCCTAGATGGTAAACCCTAGTATAGCTTTAGTCCACTACAAGGCCAACACTAACTTTCATATGAAGATGTTTATTCTTTTATCGTTGTATTATTTCTTTTATATTATAGTGTTTATATTCAATATATTATTTTTATTCTCTCATATTTGGTTATGCTAAGTCACTGGTGATGGTTACAATGGTGCTTTTGATGCACCTTCCAACTTGAGGGGGATATTGTGAAGCACGTGATGATATAAAATAGTGCGTTGATAACAGTAATGTTTAGCTCGAGCATGTAATACACATTAGTGTCTGTTTTATGCTTTGAATATCTATCAGTATTCTATATGAAAACTTTGAACCCCATCTTTACTTCAGATTTGGAATTTGCACCGAAAGTTTTAATTCCTTTAAGTTTGCACCCCCAAGTAGGTTATTTCTTTTGCATTTCCCACCCCATAATTACATTGGTAACGACTTTACACTCCACTCTAAAGTCCAAAGTAAAATTATGTTATATGGGGTATAAAGACGAATTTCACAGTAAACATAGGGCACAAAGTTTTGTTATTCTTATACTGTATTTAGCAGTATTTGTGCTTGTAGGAGTAATAAATGAATAAACTCTATAAAGATATCTCCCAGCTGAACCCATCTCTATCTCTAAAAAATGTTTTTTTCTAGGATTTTTATTGATTTAGAAAAACTATGATTTATTTAGATGCGATGACTGCATATATGTAACTACATTTATTAATATACCCTTTTAGTTATGCTCGAAAACTCTTCAGGTTGATATTGACCTCTGAAATTAGCTGTTATAGTATTTTGATAATAGGATCTGTTTAAAAATTACCCAGTTCCTTGGATATGTTCAATGCAGATATGATGGTTACGAAGAGGGCATATGGCTGCATTGTGTTAAATATTCTGGACCAGATTGGACATATGAATGCCCATATCCAGTTTGGGCATCCTTAAGCTAACCTCTTTTCTCATTTGGTTAGTTTGGTATTTATGGACTACATCAGATATTTCAGAGGTAACTAATTTTAAACTACGATACAGTTTTCTATTCTCATTACTCTATTCTGTTGTCTTTAGTCAACCTCTAAAAGTTAGTTGGTGGGAATTTCTGTTTAGTTAGTAGGGGTGGACATGGTCCTCCCCGATGCTTGAACGTACGATCGCTTACTGGCCCCCATAGGCACAGAACTGTTATGTCTCTCAACAGTATTGTTGCTTCTGGATAGGATCTTGTAATGCAAAGGTAGGAGGCGGGAAGCTACCTGTTCTGGTCATATTTTGGATTGGAGAGATCCATAGTAGATAAGACCAGGTGGCAATGCAGTGGTCTCCATTTTAGCTTTAGAAGTGGGGCTGTGTTCACCCCTATCTAGAATTGTACTTCAGAGTTCTTTTGAAGCCTGCGTTCAAAACACTCTCACTGAACCGTTTCAGTTGTAATGGCGGCGCATATTTTATTGAACAGCTTGCAAATCTTGTTCTTTACATTTAATCAGTTGCAGATTTGTTGATCTGAAAACAATTTTGGAGCAGCATGATGCTTCCAGAGTTCCAGTTTATATGTTTAGCGTTTAGCTTGACATGTGACTTCTGGTAAAAGGAAAACTGCCACTAGTGAATAATTGTAAAAACAACTACAGAGTATAATTGAGCTAATTCTGGGTGTTCATGAACCTACCTAACACTGATGGCTCTAATCCATTCCAATCTGAAGCTCAGAACGGACCGTTTGCAGTTTGAACAAGGAGAAGCGCACTGTCGAGTTGTTACATGTCCTAATTCCTAACAGATAATGTGACAACATGGTGGTGCATGCTGAAATCATTTTGGGCTGGCCCGAAATAATTTTAGGCTTGCCATATTCCGCCCGTTAAATCTAGTGGGCTGGGCTCAGCTCTCCCAATTAATTTTTTTCTAATAATAGTTGTCCAAGCCTGTTTATAAGTAGGCTGAGCGGGCTGGGCTCAGCTCTCCCAAATAATTTTTTTTTCTAATAATAGTTGTCCAAGCCTGTTTATAAGTAGGCTGAGCGGGCTGGGCTCAGCTCTCTCAATTACTCTGTATTATTTTTCTAATAATAGTTGTCCAAGCCTGTTTATAAGTAGGCTGAGTGGGCCCGGCCTAGCGGGTTTTCCTGTCTATGGTCTGCTCTAATATACAAGTAAGCCAACAGGGCAGACAATACTACGTAATAGTCATTTACAAGTTAAGAATTATTTGAATAATCATTACAAGCTGAGAAATATTTAAATAGTGTTTACAAGCTAAGAAATATTTAATTAGTGTTTACAAGCTAAGATAAAAGCTCTCCCCTCATATAAAAAATTGATCAGATACATTTCTTAAAACCCAAGAACAAAAGCAAATTAAAAAATTCATAGCAAATCTCAGTTGATATTATTATTACTAACACTACTGCTTAAGCTTGAATATATATTTTCAATACATCCATTTTCATACATTCCTTTTACTTTGTTCAACAATCTTCTTATCAGTTGTTGATTAATTGACTCACTACACAATCATATACATACTGTGTATGAACTTAATTATTAAGTTTAATTTCTATTGTAGAAAATAATAAAATTATTTGAACCAAGTCTTCTACATACAAAGAAACAAGTTCTATTCTAATTAACAAATGAAGATAAACATATCTAATAAAACCGGATTCATCAGTTGGCCTTGCCATTTGCTAAAATTAAATTGACAATTTACCCGACACAACCAAAAAGCCGTCACTGTCAATTAGTCACAAGCACAATTACTGTAAGGTTTATAAATTCAGCACCCTAAGCTGACATGTGCAACACCTACTATGAAAATTATAAATCAGATTTTACACCTACTGTGAGGAAGCCTATTGTGAGGATTGCAAATCAGATTATAAACTTAATAACATTGTTTAGAAGCACACTTATTGTGAGAATTACAAATTCAACAACCTAAGTTGACATGTGCAACACCTACTCTGAGATTAATTCATATTTTACACCAATTGTGAGGATTTTGGTTACACCTATTGTGAGGATTATAAATCCAATTGTAGACTTAGATTATAAACTTCATCACATACTTGTCACATTTACATCTTCTTTTGTTTTTTCTCCCTTTGGTTAGCTTTGACTTGGTTTCTCGAATATGTGAGCTTCTCGAGGGTAGGGTCTTCTATCCTCTGTCCAGCAGTTTTAGGAGTTATATTCGTAAGTATGAAGTCCTCTAATTGGTGGGATGGTGGTCGGTGGGTTTTGGTGGTCGGTTGATGCCTCTTATTCCTATATATATAACAAATTTGTCATACCTATGGCATGTCCAAGACTCGAGCTCTTCTTATATTACTTTTTGAAGTTCTGAGAATTGGACCCACTCTTTTCTTTCACATTGGTACAATGAAGATGGCTCCCCATATTGGAAAAGTCCTCTTGTCTATCAACGCAGGACTAAAGCTCGAAGTATTGTTTAGTAACAAGGTATTGTGAATGATTCACCAAAACGTTGAAGCAAAATATTGGAACCATGAAAGTCTTGAACATTAGCTGTCCAGAGAGCTCCAAGTGCATGTCCTTCAATCTTTCATAAAGCAAATGTAAAACTAATTATTTGTCATCACAAAAACCTTTCCAACAAATAATAACACCCAGATAAAGTAAGGGCAAACTGCCCCCGTGCATTTTTGAACAGTGCTTAATCCTTGTAATGGTACTAGGGTCTAGGGGTGCCTGGGTGAATACATTTTTTTTTTCGTTTAAGATAAAATCCACTCAACTAATCACATAAAAAGCAAACATTTTGTTTAGCCACAAGATTGATTTAGCTTCAAATGATTACAGTACTTCAACTATCTCTTCAAACAAACACAATTTGCAAAAGGATGAATTAATAATTGTATTAGTAGCCAATGGCTATGATCTGGCAACTGGCTCCAGTGCTTCAATAGTTACGACGCTGTTTCCCCGAATAACCACCATGCCAATATCATTCTTTTCATTGCCACTGACTTCCTCTGTGTTTTCAATGACTAAGTTCATGAACTGATCAAACCCACGGAGAGTCCCAACAACCATGCGACTGGCATTCAACTTAATCTGAAGCTTCTTGTCCATGTACTTTTTGAGATCCGGAGGTTGACCCTATCTACTCATGGCGACTGCACTTCCTGTTTCGTCTCAAAAAAACTCAGACAAGAGAGAGGAGTGAAGAAGATTAGGCTTTCCTCCGTAGTACTTTGAATAGATTATATTTATAAATAGGAATTTATAAGCATAGGTATATATGTTTTTATTTGGATTTGTAGAATCACTAGAATGTATATAGTTGTTTCTTCATGAAAAGGTTGTGGCGAACCAATTAAATGACACAATATCAAGGTATGTTCTATCCTATAATTACTTTTATTTTTGTAATTCTTGAAATATAATCGATTTTGATTTGAATTCTTACACAATTATTATAGTTTGTACATGTTAGGACTTATGATTGATATAGGTGCAAAATAAACTGCTAATATTGAATGCGAATATTATGTCATGGGTTACATGTTGGAAGTAATATAAATGTATGAATAAATTGTGCGTTGACTAAATTGCTTATTTTACATTTAATGTTTTGGGTAATTAACTCTATATACTATTGAGTTGATTTGTTCTTGTTTTACATAAACATTTCAGGTTTGGAGTTCAAGAGGTGAACCATATAAATTGACAAAACTGAATTTAACGATATCATAAATATATGGTCAAGATATTTTATGGATGTAGACATGTAGTTATGCAAACTAGCTTGAAATGTGCTATGCATGAAGTAGCTAGTACGTTGTAGTGCATGAATTGATGTTTGAGACCAAATTTTTTGTATTTATGTATTGTTACATTTAAATGGATGTTATGCTAAAAGTTTTGGTATTGTCTGATCTTTGATGTTTGATACGGAGTATAATGTACTCTAGTTATTCATATAGATTTTGATACAAGGAATCTAAATAAAAAGTATTTATAGAATAAAAATTATTTAAACTAGAGGTGAGTTTTAGTAGAGAGTAGGTATTTACTATTTAATGAAGATGTTTTAATGCTCAATGAAAAAGTTGAGAAAAATAATAAAAATACCCCAAACTTTGATGGGGTGTGAGATAAACACCCCAAACTTGCATATGCAATTTAAATACCCCAAACTTCATATAAAAGTTATTTTTGCACCAGTTTCATATATTTTTTCTTTCAAAAATGTAAATTTGTGTGGTTAATTGCATAACTTAAAATAACAAATTAAAAGTGTTGCAGTTATATAGATTTAAGGTAACATTATTTATTGTGTAATGGAAGTTTAGAATGTTAATTGTGTCTTCATGAGTTTTAAAATATTTTAAGTTATGCAATTAACACTATAAATTTACATTTTTGAAAGAAATAATACTTAGGCCACTTGGTCATGGTGCCAAAGCAACTTTTTATATAAAGTTTCTGGTATTTAAATTACATATGCAAGTTTGGGGTGTTCATCTCACACCTCTTCAAAGTTTGAGTTACTTTAATTATTTTCCCCGAAAAAGTTTGATCACATAATCCCAATGCTCAATAGTAAACACAATTGCTCAATATATTTTGAAATTTTATACCGAATTGCAGAGTTTCAAGGTTCAATAAATGAGACTTAATACATATTTAATGAACATGTTTTGATACTCTACTAGTAGGGTTTATGATTGTCATCAACATATATTTCAAAAGTATAATATTACATTAGATTCACATTTTGGAGGAATTCATAGGAGTTGATTACAGACATATTTTTAATTTAAGATTTTTTATAAAAAAAGAAAGAAAAGCTATTAGAAGATATGGAGTAGAGATTACAATTTTCAATATTAGATTTCTAATATTCAATAGAATAACCCTTGTTTTTAATACAAGTATATTGATGCTCAATTAACAGAAGTCATGATTTTCAACTAAAATTATTAAAATGCCATCAGTACGATAGGTGGTACCGTATACACACTCAATTGTAGTGCATGGATTGATGTTCAAGACCATTTTTTTGTATTCTTGTGTTGTTACATAGGAGTGGCCCGGTTCCGGTCTGACTGGCCCAGATCTCCTCTTTGGAAGAGAAGATCGCAAGTTCGAGTCTCATCCCAATCAAGGATGTTGGCATTAACTAGATCAGATACTATATATATGTTTAGAAGAATGTTAAAAAAAAAGTGTAATTAAGTGTCTTTAAAAAAAGGTATAATTAAGTGATATAAGACTTGATGAACAAAGCGGTTGGATGCGCTTTTCTTTTAATAAATGCTGCATGAATGGTAAGAAAAAATAATTTTGTACCAAAAGCGCCACAGACGAAAATTATTTAAACTATTGGAGGCACTTTTTTGTTCAATAAGCGCAACACGGTATGAAAAAGAATTACTCCGTAAAATGAAGAGTCTTTGTTTTGAAGAGACTCTGAAATCGTGTTGAGGCGCTCGGTTCGGAGGCCTCATAAAGCAAGTTTGCACACTTGTAAAATGAAATTTTTACACTTTTCATGATTAATAAAAAATCACAACGAAATTGAGATGTGGTAAGCTCAAATTAGTCAAATAATATCAAAGGCCATTTGTCTAACATAAGAACTAATTTCGGGTGGACCGAAAAGGGAAAAGGTGAGATTTAGTTGAGGTGGGAATGATTGTTGGATAAGGTGAACAGGTGAAGGGTTGAAAATTAGGTGGGCCGTGGGTTTGAACCCACAAGAAATGTCAAATGTGAGTTGTAAGCCCCAAGTGGATGGGTGGGTGACACATCAGAAAGCTGAGGGAAAAACTGGTGGAGCCCACCTTGACGTGGTTTTGACTATTTACTACCACTATATTACATTCTTCCAGCCTAACTTATTAGTGGTTGCTGGGTATGGAAGTTATTTGAACAGTAGTAGCCAGGTTTCATTGATACAAATAATTTTTTTTCATAATGCACCTGACCACACAGAGATATCATAACAATGAACATACATAAGTTTTTCCTAATATATTACCGAAATTAAACTTAGTACAAAAACGTGATTAAAGAAACTATGAGTGAAATGTCATGATCACTATAATGTAAAATTGAATATAATTATAGTAATTAAAAATTATTAATATAGTCACTATACACTCATATTTATGTAAGTTAGAATTTTGTTTTGACTTTCAAGTATACCCTTGTTTTATGTCAAATCAGGCAAAATGTAGATAAAAAGTAAGAGTAATTGAGACTTTTTGCTTACAAGTGATTTTGTTTTATAGAAATGACAACTTTTTTTTTGAAACATTCATAAAATAAAAGTGAGAACTTTTGTGTGTGATAGAGGTAGTATAACATATCACATTTTTGTTCATTATCTTCATTTTAAACATTATATACATGAAATGTATATACATGAAATGTATATAAACATTATATACATGAAATGTATATACATTATATACATGAAATGTATATACATGAAATGTATATAAACATTATATACATGAAATGTATATACATTATATACAAGAAATGTATATAATGTTTAAAATGAAGATAATGAACAAAAATGTGATATGTTATACTACCTCTATCACACAAAAAAGTTCTCACTTTCACTTTTATTTTATGAATGTTTCAAAAAACTTCGTATGGCATTACTTGTAAAATATAATTAAACAAGGTGCATGCAGAAAACATATTAAAATTGTTGGTTAATGTATGCTGAATTTTAGCCAGGTCAATTTTATACGAGTATCTATTTTTCTGTATGTGATCTTTAAGACAGTACACGCAATATCTCATTTTGACATGAAAATCACTAAACGAATCTTAATAGTATAGTATTTCGTTATAATCCTATGCGTAATCTTAGTGGTATCTTTGATTGCTTGATGGGGTCTAATTAGTATCTCTAAGATCGAATACACATGTTTAAACAAGAGAATATTTCTTTTTAAATTCTTTTTTTAAGCTGTTCCTTTAATTTATTAAAAATAAAGGGTTTTAATGCATGTGGTACAAGAAACACACGCGATAATAACATCTCAAGCGCTACAAATAGCGACAGTAAATACTCAAAAAGTACTTGTCATTTACATGTGCTCAATAAATTTTAGTATCACACACCCTCTCTATCCCAAATTGTTTTGAAAAGTCAACATTTTTTGATCAACTAATAATAAAAGTCAAACCTAGCTTCTTATTGATAATTAATTCATTTTTTAATAATTAAAACTTACATGCATATTCATAAACTACATTGAAATCTTTTCAAAGTGGTAAATTCCAAATTGGAATATAATTAAAAATTGACATCCTAATTAAGCGAACAAAACGAATCTGTTTGACTAAGAAAAGTTAAAGTTGCAACTCAATTTGGAACGGAGGTAGTATATTTTGAAAAAGACATGCATTTTCTACATTAAGGGCCATTAAGAAAAATTCAAATAAAATAGAGCGCACACAGTACGTCACACCTATAGATGTTGTGTATAGTAGCTAGCTAGGGCCTAGGTGGGTGCAATCTCATATACTCCATATCTACAACCTCTGTCTAGTCATGGACCCGCTTCGGGCTGCCCGGCCCGGAACCGGCCCGCTACTGTGCGGGCCCGGAACCAGCCCGGTTCTCGGGTCCGGGTCCGGGTCGGGCCTAGGCCCGGTGGGGGGGTCCGGGCTCGGGCCTTGTATTTGGCGAACCGGCCCGGCCGGGTCAGGCCCGGGTCTGGGCCGAATTGATTTTTTTTTTATTTATTTTTTTTCATTTTTTGGGGTTACCCGAGTTGGGCTTGATGGTTAGGAGGCGTTTGGGGGGTTTGGGGTGGGGGGTGAGGGGGGGGGGGGGGTTAGGAAAGCAAAAAAAAAATGACCAAACCGGAGGCCCGGCCCGGACCCGGTGGCTACCCGGGCCGGTCCCGGGCCTTCCTTCCCAAAAAAAAGCCCGGCCGGGCCCGGCCCGGAACCGGAACCGGACCGGCCCGGGTCCATGCCTACCCCCTACCCACATTTACGTTTACCTTTTTACTTTGTTGAGTAAAACTTTATTCACTTTGATCGTCGGGTTAAATGCATAAATGGTACCTGAACTATTGGTAATGTTGCATTTTGGTACCTTAACTCTTAAATGAATCAAAACGGTATCTTAACTATACATAAATGTTTCAAATTGAGATTTTATTCAAATTTTCGACCAAAAAATTCCACGTGGCGGTCACAATTCTATGCGTAAAGTCTACTTTACCTTATTTTTGTCCATATGATCACTATAGGTGACTCTGCACATGAAAATTTGATCGTCATGAAGGACTTTTTTGATAAAAAATTGAATAAAATCTCAATTTGAAACATTTATGTATAGTTAAGGTACTGTTTTGATTCATTTAAGAGTTAAGATACCAAAATGCAACATTACCAATAGTTAAGGTACCATTTATGCATTTATTAATCAAAAACCGTATTATTTTATAATACCAAAATAATTTTGAAAGCTTCATTTTAATATATACTCCGTATAAGTTTATTGAAATGTTATTTTATTACTCCGTATAAGTTTTATAAGTGTATATTTCTATATATTAATGGTCAAACGTTAATACTGAAGACCATAAAATGTTGATTGTAAACTTATTTAAGAGATGAAGGGAGTAATAGGGGATGTTTGGATCTGATTCTTAAAATCGTTTCTGCTCTTTCAGGGAGCATAAGCTAGAGTATTTGAGTGAAAGTGCAGAAGCGATTCTGGTGCTCTAATTTACTCCTAGAATTAGTTTTTTTAAAAGCTAGGGGTGATCAGCTTTTCAAATCTGATTCTGACTCTGCATCTGCTTTAAAAAAGAAGTAGAATCGGTTCCAAACACCCCATAATCTACACGTGTGATTAACATTATTATACTCGGCATTTTGATTAAATTTGCAATTGATTTTGTTTTTCCTACGTATGTAGTATGTATGACACTTTGAACTTGAAAAAGATTCTTACACGCATGCATTGACCTCACTGATTAATAAAGCAGATACCGAACTTTAGGTTTCTACAATTTTGATTTAGATGTAAAAGGGAAAAAAGAAGACAAATAGAATGCTAGTTAGCTAGTTGGCCTCCCCAGATGGAATAGCTGTTACGCATTAATGTCCCACACATATACTTCTCACCACTCTATATAAACGAACCCCTCATGTTGGGGAAGATCACACAATTTATAAGATCGATCGGATTACTTAACTACACTTACATACACACATACTTCAGTTCTCTATCTACCCAGCTAATTATAATATTTATTATAGCCATGAATCACTTGGCTTTTGCATTTGGCCTTCTAGGTACGTAATCTATTATGCATTAAAAAGCATTTTTCAATCTTTTTTTTTTTGCTAAATGCTCTTATGTAAGCCCTTGGTTGGTTTCCTAACATGAAACACACACAAATACACATGTACAAAGTATATATCTAAGAGAAACAATAATAGCCATGTAGTATGCAAATAAGGGGACATTATTCTAGTTTTGCCCTAAAAGTAAGACTCATTCAGTTCAGTAGCATATAACATACTACCTCCGTTCTCTTTTAATTGCAACGTAGGACTTTTTTCACTATTCACAGATTCTACTTTGACTACATTTTATTAATTAATGTATTACGAATTAAATTTTTAAAAAATATTTTTAAATTCCTCTCATAATAAATTTTCAAAATCTGATTTTTTTTATTTTTTTCTAATCAAGAATGAAAGATATTAACGGTCAAACTTGTGCGTTGGCAAGCGTGAAAAGTGGACTGTTGCAATTAAAAAGGAACGGAGGAAGTACTATTCTGTATATATAACTTCTTCCATTTCCAGTTTTCTTTTGGATTGTCCCAAAATAAGTGTTACATTTCATTTTTTTATAAAGAAATACTTCGTATATGGTTCACAACATTTTACTACGTACTTTATTATACTCAAATCTCAACTAAAAGTTTTACTTTAATTTTACAACCACTTTAATTTATTAATAATAGTAGCAATTAAACGAACGTAGCATTATGCTTTTTCAATAATTTATTCAATTCTTGTATTATTAACTTGTATAATTCCATGCATGCTGCTTTTGGATTTGCTGGATTTTAATAAGCATATGTTTCCTTTATTGATATGGATGTGCTGCAGGCAACATTGTCTCATTCATGGTGTTCCTTGCACCAGTGTGAGTAGGCTGTCTTATTGTTAATTAATTGCATGTTTACTTCCACTATTTCAGTATCCCACTAATTCAAAACAATAAATATATACGTAGTACTTGAGATAGTTTTTAATTAATTACTAGCTCCTTCTATCTCAAAATATAAACTCCATTATTACTTCCTTTTTCTCTTGTCCCAATATGAAATTTCATATTTTCGGCTTCTCCGTTCAACTTTTCGCTACACAATTTTTACTTTCTTAATTCACGCCAAATCAAAACAGGAGTGCAGTATGGGAAAGAAGGAGTAATGGTTATTAATTACAGGACTAGAGTTTATTCATTTCATTCTAATAATGCATGGATGGATATATGCATGCATGGATGCAGCCCAACATTTTACAGGATATACAAGAAGAAGACGGCGGAAGGGTACCAGTCGGTGCCGTACGTGGTCGGGCTCTTCAGCGCCATGCTTTGGATTTACTACGCCTTCCTCATGCCCGACACCACTCTCCTCATCACCATTAACTCCGTCGGCTGCTTCGGCCAAACTCTCTACATTTCCTTCTACCTCTTCTATGCACCCAAAAAGGCTAGGGTAATTATATTAAGTTTATACACCCTAAGCTACATCCCATTTTCATTTGCAAAGTTGTCTTTTTAGATCAAATAAATTCATTTTATTCACCTAATAAAAATTATATCAACTTTTAATTAAATTTTAATTTGGATTTTCAACTTTACAGAGATTATAATTTAATTTCTGAATATGTGAATTTTAATTATTAAAATTGAATTAATTATCACATATTTGAATTGCAGCTTGACACAGTGAAACTTGTGAGTCTCCTAAACGTATGCGCTTTCGGTCTAATCGTTCTGGTCACTCAATTTCTGGTGAAAGAGCCGTTAACCAGAGCCCATATTGTGGGGTGGATTTGTTTGATCTTTTCTCTCTGTGTCTTCGTCGCACCATTGGGTGTTGTGGTAAGTACACATATCACACGCACTTGCACTAATTATGTAAGAACGTTCGAATAAAGTATATGGAGTACATAAAGTTCATGATCATGATTGTTTTGTGAAGTCAACGTTTGAGATAGTAGTAAACTTTGATCAATTATTTTAAATAATACTACATACTATATACTTTGTATATTTTTGTAAAGCTTAATAATTTTATACTTTTATGATACTACCTCCGTTCCGGAATCAAGTTCCCATTCATTATTGTAGTGTTCAACTTAAATCATTCTTAATCTTTTATTTTATATATCAAAATTTTATCAAACTTAAATTTTCTTGATCAAACTTTGTAGCGATTTTAATGAAGTTTCTGAATATGTAAATTTTATTTACTAAAAATAATCTGAGTGTGAATATGGATTGAGTTGCTTCTTCGTCAGTCAAACCTCGTAAAGACCAATGAGAACTTGTTTACGAGAAAGAGGGAACTGAGTATTATTTTTAACAAAGATCATTTTTTCACCCATTTTCATATTATTAATATTAACGCGTATACATATATATATATATACTCTGTATAATCGGTCAACTTCAACATCAATCTTTGACTTGAAAACTCAAATTTGGCTAAATAAGGCTAAAATTAATGTAATTTGTGTAATTGTGGGATGCAGAGGCAAGTGATAAGGACAAAAAGCGTGGAGTATATGCCATTTCTGCTGTCCTTCTTCCTCACACTGAGCGCAGTGATGTGGTTCTTCTTTGGCTTACTTCGCAAGGACTATAATATTGCTGTAAGCATGCACCACTATATATACACACATGCTAGCTAGCTAATTAAAAAAGATTTTAATTTAATTTACTACGTATTATTAATTGATTTGGGCATGAATATAATATAATGTTGCACATATATATATATGCATGGATGCAGATTCCGAATGTGCTGGGGTTCAGCTTCGGCGTGATCCAAATGGTGCTTTACATGGTGTACAAGAACGCCGGGAAGAAGCAAACTGCCGCCGCGGCGGAGCAAAAGCAGGTGCCGGAGATGAGCGGCGGTGAGCAGTTGATGGTGGCCTTCGGGGCGGGGAAGCAGCTTCCGGCGGAGCTTCGGGAGCAGATAATAGATATTGTGAAGCTGGGCACTCTGATGGCGCTCTCTGAAAAGGCTCCGGCAGCTCCTCCACTTCCAGCTGCGGCGGCGGCATTGCATGCATCCAGCTAGTAGCTAGCTACTTTAATTGCGTTGTCACTCGATCATAATCATCCCATCCCATCCGTCAAATTGGAATCGATCTTCAACGTCACTAAGCTAGCAGACTAGTAATTATTAATTGTATCTTCAATTCCCAACTAAGTCATGCATGCAAGCCATTAGCCATGCATGCTTCTTTCATGTCATTCCTTTAAGAGATTTGTCCTTCATTGTAATTCGCACTTCGATCTGTATTTCAATTTCAATCATTTCAATTTCAATTGCATGCTCTCCTTCAATTCATCCGTTGCGATTTAGTACGTGCTTATTATGCTATTATTAATTAATCTTAATGTCTGAAAAAGAGATCGAAAGAAAATCTCCCCATTACACATTCATGAAGTGGCGCAATTTAAATATTCAACATGACTACTCTATATTCTTGTGATCGAAATAAACTACTCCCTCTATCGCAAAATTCTTCCCAGTTTGACTTGACACGGAGATTAAGAAAGTGGAATAGAGTGAAAATATATGATTGTGGTTGTGTAAGAAAAATGTGAAATGAATGTGAACCACACAAATTGTCTAAGAATGGTAAGTGAGAAGAATTTTGCAAGACACAGGGAGTACTAGGTAGGAAGTATAATTAAGTTTGTGCTTGAATGATGTAAAAAGTTATACCTTACAAATGGTTATGGTGGATAACTTTAATACGGAGTAGTTATTTAGATGAATAGTCTTGCTTCGGAGTCCTGATTACATATCTCCAATGCTATAATGCTCTAATTTATAGCATTAGAGCATCTCCAATGCTATAATGTCTACGGTGCACATGTGGCATGAGTGATAGTCACATAAATATTAGCAAATAAATTATTTTTCTCCTTATTTGAATGATTTTATACAATTTTGGTAAGTTTTTCCCTGCAATGTCAACAACAATGTCAACATCTAGACGGTCTCCTTGACAGTGTGGAAAAAAACTTACCAAAACTGTATAAAATCATTCAAATAAGGAGAGAAAGAATTTATTTATTAATATTTATGTGGCTATTTTTCATGCAACGTGTGCACCGTGCAACATTTTACCATTGGAGATGCTCTTAGTGTCTTTTTTGTCCAAGTTAAAACTAGGTCCTATTTTTGTTAATGGAAAAGCCAATAGCTGTTTATATATATATATATATATATATATATATATATATATATATATAGAGAGAGAGAGAGAGAGAGAGAGAGAGAGAGAGAGAGAGGAATGTTCAGGTCCGAACATTCCTGGTCTGAACACCGTCCGAACATCCCCATTTGGGGCCCTTCCCGGTGGAACTTTTTGATGAAATTTTTTGAGCATGTATATTTTGACGCAGTCAACTTCAAAAAATCATTTGAATGCCTTTCCGATCGAATTTTGAGCTGAAATTTGGTATGGACAAACTACACTTGATGAGGAACATGCTCAAAAAATTTTATCAAAAAATTCCACCGGGAAGGGCCCCAAACGGGGATGTTCGGACTGAGGATCCTGTCCGAACGTTCGGACAGGATCATTTTTGTACACACACACACACATAATGCACATTTTTCGTAGGGAGTTTTTTTGACCTTTCTGATTGAATTTTTAGCTGAAATTAATTTGGTATGGATAAACTAGATATGATGAGGAACATGTTCAAAAATTTTCATCAAAAAATTCCAACAGGAAGGGCCCCAAATGGCCTCAGCCTGACGGCGGTTCCTGTCAGGCCGGTCTGATACGATCCGCCCTCTATGTATGTATGTATGTATGTGTGTATGTGTGTGTGTGTGTATGTATGTATGCATGCATGTATGTATGTATGTATGTATGTATGTATGGAGTCCCGATCCTGTCAGGCCGGCCTGACGGAAATCGCCGTGAGGCCGAGGCCATCAGAGGCCCTTCCCGGTGGAATTTTTTGATGAAAATTTTTGAGCATGTTCCTCATCAAGTCTAGTTTATCCATACCAAATTTCAGCTAACAATTAAATCGGGAAGGCAGTCAAACAAATTCCCTACTAAAACTGCGCAGTTTATATATAAATAATGCACAGTTTTAGTAGGGATTTTTTTGACTGCCTTCCCGATTGAATTTTTAGCTGAAATTTGGTATGGATAAACTAGACTTGATGAGGAACATGCTCAAAAAATTTCATAAAAAATATCCACCGGGAAGGTCCCCAAATGGCCTCGGCTTGACTGCGGTTCCCGTCAGGCCGTCCTGATACGATCTGTCCTCTGTATGTATGTATGTATGTATGGATGCATATCATGCATGCATGTATGTATGCATGTATGCATGCATGCATGCATGCATGCATGTATGAATGTATGTATGTATGCATACATGTATGTATGTATATATGTACGTATGTATGTAAGTATGTACGTATGGATGTATGTACGTACATCACATGAAATTAGATTAAAAATCAGAACCAAATCATCTATGACACAAACAATTTGAGCATAAACATGCATAGAGGCGTGTTAGCGTATACTGTACACTTTAGATGTTAACCATCACAACTTTTCTATATACTCCCTCCGTCCCGGAAAATTCTTCTCGGTTTGACCTTGATCGGTGTTTAAGAAAGTGTGAATATATGATTGTAGTTGAGTAAGAAAACGTAAATGAATGGTAGCCACACAAACTTTTCCAAAAAGGGAAATGAGAAGAAATTTTTGAAACATTACACAAAGATGAGTGAGAAGAATATTTTGGGACGAGAAATATATAAAATTATGCACATGATTCCTTTTTGACTTGGCTAGATTATAGATATACTCCGTATATTCCTTCATATATACCTCACATGAATTACATAGTTGATCTTCTAAAGGTTTTTTGCAGACTGGATTTACTGTGCAAGAGCAAGAGGTACACCAAAAAAGCACTCTCAAGGGTCTTCGCCTTAAGAGCTCTGCAGTGGTGGAGCCTACGTACAAATCAAGTTGTAGTTTTTCTATTGTACTCAACTTTGATCTACAAAATACGATATTTCCCTACAAATAGTCTTTGTATGGAAACCCCAAAAATGTAGTAGTGGCTTGGACGGAGGTGTTGTAAAGTAGACTCCGTCAGGACTGTTGGGATTGTGGGGGGACTTTTAAGGGGCCGGGCTTTTGACAGAGTGTAGGCCCAAAAGCAACATAGTTGTGGGTGAGCATATTTGGAAGAGTACAACAACGTACAACACAGCTAGCTAGTTGTGCTAGCTAGGGTTGAGCAGTTTTTTTTTTGCCTTTTTACAAAGTATTAAAAATGCTGTGCAATTTGTCTTCCAAGTGCTTTTACCTCAACATTGTTTGTAGGCTCAAGATACTTTTTCCATTAATAATTTGTGGTATGGAAAAAATTTTGTAGATAAAATATATTTTTCTCTACAAATATGTTTTTAATTTGTAGAAAGTAATTGAACGGAGGAATGTCTTTTTCACTACTTTGTAGAGCTATTTGTAGGCCTAAGGTCACAAATGATTTTCTAGGAGACTATTTTGTAGTCTAAAGATATTGGTTGGTGCAAAAAATCATTTGTAGGACCTATAATTTGTGGGAACATTTCTGAAACCACAACTAAATAATGTTTCCACAATAATTAAAGATCTGGAACATACTCAACTTTGTAAGATAAATTTCAAACAAAGAATGCGCATTATAAAATTTTACGTACAACTCTATATCAAACGTAACTAAGTAACATTAAAAACATTAATCCATATCATCGACCTCCAATTCATCATACACCAATTCCTTGACTAGCTACAAAATGTATCTCAAATGTTTCAGCTAATGCATGGCATTAAAAAGTAAATAACTAAACGTGACAAGAGATAAGGTCTTGGTAGCCATTGCAGCCTTGATCCTCTATATTTCTTTTCCCGAGTTGAGGACTTACGTGCTTCAAGCAATTCTTTAAGCCTCTTGGTAGCCATTGCAGCCTCTGTATTTCTTGAAAGAACCTGAAATATATATTAACTTTGTCATGTATGACTTTAATATATTCAAAGATACAAAGAAAGGGAGGAATAAATAAAGTTAAATTTGCTTAGCCCACAAAAATCGTCCATACAAAGTTAAATCCGATCCACTGATTCTATTCTTTCAAAGGTAGATGGATCTTTCCGATTAAGGATGGACCGCAACCGGCCCGACCCAAAACTGTTCTGAAACGGCCCGGCCCGCCAACTGGGCCCTGCACCGGTCCGGGCCGACCTGAACCGGGTCTTACCTAGTAGTCACCTAGAGCGGGCCCGGGTCATGCAAAATAGGAATCGGCCCAGCCGGCCTGGTTCAGGCCTTTTTTTGTTTTTTGTTTTGTTTTTTTTTTTCAATTTTTTTTCCCCGGGTTGGGCTGAGTGTTTGGGGGATGGGGTGTGAGGGGGGGGGGGGGGTCAGGGGTTAATTAGAAAAGCAAAAGGAAAAAAAATTGCACCGGCCCGGCCAGACCTGAAACCGCTGGCTACTCGGGCCGGTTCCGGGCCTCACTTCCCAAAAAAAAAAAAGCCCGGTCAGGCCCGGCCTGGACCGGAACCGGTCCAACCCTACTTCGGATTGTTGGGATAATCTCATATTTTGACCCTATTCGTATCAATTTTGGGGATATTAGGCTAATTTGGTAACCCCACACACTGTATTTTTTTGGAAGAAAGTGGCTTATATTAATAAGAATGAGCGTAAGCATGTTACAATCAGACAAAGAGCCCCATGTCTGTCGTTTGCTCTTGAATAAGACTTAGAACGTGCCACCTCCAAAAAAGCACCCAGATTCGTTAATCCGGAATTGGACATACCTGAGCCAATGGCAAACTAAGCTCCTTAGATCATCACATGTCCTATGTTTGTAGTCTTGACAAAAATGAAAATGAACGCAAACAAGAACAAACGTTGTCCAAAAGGAAAACTAACAGAAATAAAAACAAGTCTGAATTCAAAGATAACTCCAATCTGCCAGCGGCACACGATCATCGCAGGTTTAGGCGGGTCTGAGTATTCCAGTTCGCCTCCTCCCTATTTTTTGATCCGTCCAGAGCCATTCCATCCTCTCCCAAATGCTCCTGCTCTTGTCCATCCCAGGTTCACCGCCGCTTCTGTTCACCCATTCCACTGCTGATCATCCTAGCCGGCCTCCTAAAGTTTTGCCTCCTCCCCTCCTTCCTGAAACTTGCCCTGCACGTTGCTCTGGCTATGGTCATGCACTTATTTTAAATTTCTATGTCTCCCTGCTTGATCTCTTCCTACCCCTCCTTTGGCCACCAACCATTGACTGCCCATAGAAGGGCGAGATATTCCTCCACCCGCCCGCAACCAAGGTCCAAAGGATTTCACCACCGCCTTATCGCCAGTTTCATACA